GTTTTTGGCATTTCCCCCTCCTTTTCTTTTGTTTGGATTTAAAACAAAAAGGCTCAAATTCTCAATTCTAACAGGTCGTCCAAAGGTGTAGAGAACTAGAACTCTCATATGTTTATTTTTGTTCAAGTTTACCAAACTTAACAGCCTAAAAAAAATTGAAGTCAAATAATTAAGTCCAACGGTTCAAACCCAGGCCCAATAGTACCTTTCGAAACATAAATTATAAATCATTATGACTCCTCGCTTGCTCTAACGCTCGTTTATACGATAGCGAGTGGAGATCCAAAATAAAATATAGTAAGAATAAAACAAAATAAAATAAGTTATGCCGATATAAATTTAAATAATTTGGGATAGAATCTCGAGAGTCTAGATTAAATCTAACTTCAGTAACGCAAGATGTTACATTTACAAGACAAATTAAAAAAATAATGAATATAATTGTGCGAGATACGAGGAACTCCATTTTTTTTTTCTTTTTTCCTTAGACGATCGTTTATTGTGGGAGAATGGTGCAAGTTGATATGGGAACGACTTTGAGAGGGAGGGAGAGCGAGATTTTGAGCTAGGGTAAGAGCGCGATAACGAGATAAATTTGTGCCTCTTCTCCATCTTATGACGATCGTCTTCTTCTCCATAATTTCTGGTAATAACTCTGTCCTCCACGATTTTTTCTTTCTTTTTTCGATTTGGCTCCTCCATAATCTCTCGATCGTCTTCTTCTCCATAGTCTATGAATGTTTTTTTTTCCTGTTTTTCAAAGAATAAAAGTCGAGCAAAATAATCTTGAGGTTGTTATACGAAGAGAGAAGATCTCAAATTGTTCAAGCTTTTTCAAACTTGTAATATATTGAGAGAGAAAAAATCCCAAAATTCTCGCTCTTTCTAGCTCCCTGAAATTCTCGCTCTTCCTCTCACTCTCGCCGAAATTACCACGAAAATATTAGTGCTTGGAGGGGTCTGGAGAATGGAGCAAAAGCAGTGTTTTAGAGATTGGAAAGGGGTTTTCAAAATGAATACAAAATCGAAGGGTATTTTTTTTAATAAACAAATCTATCACTTGATTATTTCTCTATTTACAAATTGTTTGTAATTTTGATTGAAACAAATCTAAAGAGAAACGGGTCTTCGTTTTCTATATAAAACTTGGGGAAAAAATCGCAAAAATAATTAGAATAAAGAAAAATCATAGAAAAGATGGTTCAAGGGCCCAAATGTAACTCACTTATGGAAATTTGGGCTAAGTCACACTTTTCTCAATGAAAAATTAATTTTGTCTTGGTTTCCAAAATTTTCCCACGTTTTTTCTTTGTTTTATTTCTTTCTTTCACTCACACTCCCTCTCCCATCGTTCTACTTTGCTTTTCTACTTCCTGCAAGTGATCCCTTAAATCTTATTTCGCATTCAATACCAATCTATCAATTTCGTCTCTCTAGCAATGATTCCAATTTACTTCGTGTTTTTTTGCTCTTCGAGGCGTTCTTCTCTCATGAAGATTCCGTATTTCACCTATTCTTTAGAGGCTTTTACTGTCAACGCACGATGCGTATTATTGATTCATTTTCATTTTCATTTTATGATTTTATATTTCCTTTTGAATTCGTTTTACTCATGTGCTTCATTCATTCCTTGTTTGTTTATGTTGTATTTGCTCCCAATATTGATGCAAGATGGGTGGGT